TAAGCTGTGAAACATGATATAGTAGTAATTTAGGTAGCAACTGTTTTAGGCTGCAATAGTCCAAATAAAGGTGTCTGAGCTTAAAATTAGACTACATATGGTATATACCAACTTTCTAAAAAGATGACTAAGCCAAAGCATCATCCCAGTATGGTAAAGCACTTTAAAACATATTATATATTTTGAACATATGTACAAACAAGTTCTCCATTAGTAAGCAGCCCAGCAATCCAGTGTTTGGGCTGCTATTCACAAAAAACTCGCCAGAAGCTGACAAGTTTTTGAATATATATGGTAGCGCTTTCAGATTTGAAATAAGCACCAGAGCGCAGGAAGCCAGCTTCTGCAAGCTATTGCACCTGCTCCCTTTCCTTTCCCCCTCATAGAACTGTCAGGGCAAGTGTTAGAATAGGTTCTACTATACTTGTGTAGTGTAGAACTCAATCCTCATGTCTTTCTGTGATGTATACATTATAATAGATAATAAATAACCTTTAAAGCGAAAAAGGGCACCAGAAACAGATGGTCCTATATCTTGTACAGAACTTGAAAGAACATATAATGGCTCTAGACATATATATATATATATATACATGTTATTTAAGTGTGGGGAAGCAATTTCAAGGCCAGGATAACATGCAGAGATGCAGGCAGAAGGTCAGAACCCTTATTGCACTCATGATAGCTTGGCCACTGTTCTCAGCATTTAGTAATGAATGTAGCTAGGTAAAAATGGTTGTGCAGGTGCTCTAACACAAGTAGATAACATATAAAGCTCTGTAGAGCCCTAGCATACTGGAAAAGGGCTGAACTACACTTAACAACATGGGTATGCACACAGAGCTTAAAAACACCACATATGCAGATGTACAAAAGCCTACAGACAGAGACAAGCTAAATGCAGCTACATACATAGTATTCAAACATGTTATAACCCTCCCAGGTGATAATGCCCTTCCCACCTATGCTGTAAGAGCCAGGCATACACCTGTGCACAGATGGTGGTTTTGAACTGGTCAGAACTTGATCAAGGTGTCACTCTGGGGTTAACTGATGCACTGCTCCACCAATACATGTCCTCTGGATCTAGAAAGTTGTATCCCCCCATTTTCATAAGCTGGGAATCGATTGAAAACAGTCCGCTCATTTGATTCTAAGTGATTGAGCCAGTAGGAGGTGTTTTCGACGAGATCAGCGAATAGGCGCCCGTAGAAAACACCAAGATCTGCTCAATCAGACATCTTCCAGGGCCTGAGATTGGAAATAAAGCATATAAATCCTATTCTGGGCTAAAAGAGACACCTCCCAGCATATAAAAACATCTGATATGTGCCATTTTTTGTGCCAAGCCTCGCAGGTTCTATAGAGAGTTTGTGGATGCCTGAGGCTCCCCAAACTCTTGGACAGGGTTTAAATGCAATTTATTATGAGTGTATAACATTAGAAGAGCTGTAGGAGCTTTGAAAAGGGTTTCCTGCTATTTTCAGGCCAAAAAATTCGATTTTTAATAGAAACTAGGTGCTCAAAAGCTGGAAACCTGGGTAGTGGCAGCTTTGTGGCACTGGCGGGCTGACGGCGGGTTGATGGCGGGCTCATGAAGATTAAGACCACTCTAAGATTGCAAAAACTCGACTTTTGGCAAGTATTTTATGAATAGCAGGCCCAATTTTGCTTTTTGACATATGTTTAGTATAGCAAATATATTTTAATATATGTTCTCCATTTTTCCATGTTATAAAACGAAAATAAGCGCCTAAAATGGTAGTTATGATATATCTCCCAAATAGAGTGTATGTTTTTAATTGCTACTATGTCAGAGAGTAATAGATATGTTTTAAAAGCTAGATTATGTGAGAATTGACTGCCAGATAGCTATGACAGATTGAGAATAGTCTAAAATAGTTACTATGTAGATTACTACCAAGTCATGTTTTACAGCTAGTAGCAATTACTTACATATCAAGCTTGAGAATAAAGCCAAAAGGTGCTGTTTCTGCATTAGGAACATCATGTCTTTGAGACTTGCTACATCGGCAGCTGAGTCTTGAGATGCGGAGATGGATGCAGATGATGAGGGAGTAGTTGACGATGTAGCCCTGATCAATTGTGACTTTGCTAGTTGTCCAGCTAATCGCGACAAGCAGAGGTTTTTCCAATGGTCTGGTTTACCACAGTGCTGACATTTTGTATCTTCGTGCAATCTGTTTGCTTTGTGACCTTTTGACCTACAGACACAACAGTGATCAACCATTAGCTTGTTGTACTGTCACTTGATCTCGGTGGGATTCTTGAGGCCTTGGAAAAAGTCGTTAAAGCAAGAGGCAAAGATGTTGATAGTGTCAATGTCTATAGTGTTAGAGTCGCAGAAACCAGAGGAGCAGGAAGTCGTTGTTGGCTGGGGTTACAAGACTGATTTGCCTTAATTGGCTGCCAAGTCTGCTTTCTGCAGATCGATTGTTGCTCCATAGATTTTGACTGTGTTGTAATCCATAACCAGAGGAGCAAAGTAGAACAACCTGTTAATGTAGTCGGAGTTTATGCCAAACTTGAGACGACCATATAGGTTGTTATCTGACCATTTGGTACAACAAGAATAAGTCTTGAACTCTGAAAGGTAGTCCACAAACATTCTGTTGCCTTGTCTAATTGACATGAGCTTTTGTTTGGCCTCGTTTTTGGCATCCACCGGTTTGAATTTTGCTGAGAATTGTTTGACAAATTCTGTCCAGGAGAAATTGAACAGAGTGCGACCTTTCAAAAGATTCTTGATGTGAGAGCAAGCCCAAACTGCAGCATCATTTGTCATGAACAAGAGAATGCCAGTAATCATCTTGACAGGGTTCATTAGCCAGTTGCCATTAGTGTTGTAACGAATAGTGTTATTAATGTCCTGTAGCACAAATATTTCTTTGTTTGCTCTGACATACAAACAAAAGGCGCTGCGGAAAAGTCTAGCCTTTTCCAATGACTTGCCGTCAAAGGTTGAGGGTTTTTTAACAAAAGACTAGGACTGGATTGAGGAAATTGATGCAGTCGCTGGATGTGCATTTGCAATAAACTGGTTCACATTGACTGTGAGATCGTTGACATTCCAAATGAGCATGGCTATGAGATTCATCACATTCTGCATTGTTGCTTGGTATATCGGTGCGAAGTCAGTTGATGGGTTAGTTGGAGTGTTTTGACCGGAAGGCCTATTGACTAGCCTGTCCATTTTGCTTGTCATCGGCCCAAAATCATTGAGAGTAAGTTCACTGTAGTCAGTGATATGCTCGTCTAACTGATACCAACTGTGGATCTCTCATTCCTGTTCTATGTCTATGAACAGATAGAGTGGATCCTCAGTGATAATAGATTATGTAGAATGCTTGTAGTATCGATTCAGGCGGAGGTAATTTGTGCAAGTGCTTAATTCTCTCTTGTTGCTGATGTGACAGTCTCAAGCTTCTTGAAAGTGAAAAATGTGTGCTAGTGCTGCGCAAGCTAGATAAATGTTGGTCACTATGTCTGATTCATTTGGAAGGACCAAAAACAGGTTTATAGAGAGTGAAAGGGGAGTTCTTAGAATAATTGTACTAGTTCTAACTCAACGAGGTGCTCAAGTGCATAATCTAGTATATACAGATTGAGGATTCTTTCCTTGTTGTAGTTTATGTATTTGAAGAGTATATACCTGTCCAATTTTACTATTCTAGTTGAAATACCCATTGTTCCAAACCGCATGAAGCGCTTTAAAAACTCGGACTCGGTTGTGCTGAAGTCCTTTGAACAAAATCCTGCTGATCTCCTTTAAACCTGAGTCCCAGCAATTCCACTCTTCAATGCTGATCACACAGGACACATTTTTGAGAGTGTGGTCGAGGTGAGTGAGGCAATTGCAAAGTTTGAAGACGGCGCTGATGTCATCAGTGAGAATGTCTGGACAGTTGAGTGTTTCGAGGACGTTGAACCTCTTGAGGGTGGCAGCAAACTTTGGTGTGAAGATGTGGGCAAAGTCGACAGCTGTATGTTTGGAGATGTCGATAGTGACTGGCTTCAGAGTGATGAAAGTGTAGGTTGGAGCAGTAGTGAGATGATCTACTAGAGGGCAGTTGGAAGAAATGCTAGTGTGCACATTTTGTCTGCTGCAAGCTTAATTTTGTTGCACCTGGTAGTGCCGGCAATTGTTATATACAGCTAACTTGGTGTGTTCGACGGCATCCCAGTTAATGCTAGGAAGTGTGTTCAAGAGTGATGGAAGTGTGGTGATGTGCCAAATAATAACTTTGAATTTGGCAGTTATGTACTGATGTGGTGCCCCTGCCTTATGTTCTCGACTAAGTTGGTCAAATACAGCTTTGGACAGTGTGTGGCGGAGGTGGGGGTGATGCTTGTCCATACAGCGTTTAAATGCACGAGGGCAATCGGGCAAATTCTTAGGCACTGGTTTTATGCAGAAATTAGTGCTAGATGCGTACGTCTGCCACTAATTGCCAAAGAGACTTACTCTTTAAATGGGGAGAATAAACTTTTTTAAAACTGTGCACAGGGCACTAGATAAGGGAGGATAGAGTCTGGATGCACAAAAGATCTCAACATAATGATGTGGACTGATGTTGACACACCACGAGGGATACTTCATAGATCTAACTTAAAGATGGCACTAACAGTGGTCTGGCAACGATTGTGTTAACTTGTTCAGCTAGTCCAAATAAGCAAGAGGTTTATTAGTAAGTATACTACAATACAAGTAAAGGGTTACCTAGCCCAAATAATCAAAAGGTTGAGATGGGGCTAGATAGTGACGAAGGTGTCCTTTATATACTGTTTAGGTTGTGCATGAACCAGGCATTACCTAAGCCATTGTAGCTATGGCATCTGCTAGTATCTAGGGAACTTGGCAAAAAACAGGGGCCGGTGTGTCATAGCATATGGCGTTGTCAGGCTGACAGGGATTAGATGTCCATTGCTGATCAGACTCAAAGATAGAAGGTCCAGTGGAAATTGGAGCGCGGCTGTTACCAAGAAAGCATGATGCAGGGATGAGGTGGCTGCGATGTAAGCACATTTAGTGTGCTGATGCGTGCCTGTTGGTGATGCGGTTCTGAGGTGTTAGCACACAGCTAGGACTTGTAAACTGGCGCCAGAGTGCCAATAACATTTGGAAGGTTGTACTAACATTGAATAAATTGTAGAAAATTGGAAAAAATGGGAAAATAATAGGAGGCCAGGGCTACACCCACAACATTGGTGGAGTCACTTATTGAATCCAGTTCAGCCACCTGCAACAGCCCGCAAAGGTGAATGAGTGATGGCTCAATTCTTTCACCACAGAATACTCCTAGAAGGTGGTATTCAAAATGCTCATGAAGGAACAGTTTTCACTTTTTGACTTTGTGAACTCTGAATACAGAGAGCTCCATGAAGGGAATATATGAGCCAGCGGTTGAGAAGCGCATCAACTCTTAGAGCGTGTTTTCTTCAGTCATAGACACATCTTCTTCCAGATCATGGTCGCTTAGATTGAGCTTCTGAAGATGGTTCTGAATATTCTCAGAATCATCTATCTTCGTGTTCTCGTCGACAATGGCATCAGTGGTACTTGTCAGAGTATTCTTGCCTGACTCTTTGGCAGCTGCAGCCTGAGCTTGGTTTTGCTCACGCTTTCGCCTTAGCAGGACCTCATGCTTTTTGTGCTTTGCCTCTTTGTACTATGACAGCTTATGCTAATCAATACTGAGAGTATATTGCTTGAGTGCATGGCTTTTATTGCACATGTGCAGCCAAGCTCTCCAGAAGTCACAGGCTAAGAGTTATGGCCATTGATTGGCTTCCGTACAGAGGCGATCAACTTTAGCTGCATTATGCAGAAAGCAAAGTTGATCAAAGGATGTGGGTTCCTTTGTGCTTGTGAGGTCATTGTGGAGGAAGTTGAGCCCTGGCTCATAGTCTGAGCATAGTGTGAGTATCGGCCATAGTGTGCTAGATGCATTTGATGTTCCTTCGCTCCTCCCCCTCTGAGAATCAATGCCTGCCCTGAAATCCAGATTAAGCTGCCGCGGGGGCTTGGATGAGTTGGGCTCAGAGTGAGCAAATGCGGGGGCATGTTGGAACAAGGTTCTATGTACGTGAGCTGGAGCCGGTGGCACATTAGCAGTGACTGAGGCAGCAGCAGGAGCCAGTAGTGCGAGAACAGAGCGTGCATCAGGATCTGGGCAATTTGCATGCGGTCAGATGGATGAAACAAATGATGGCACAGACCGGTTGTTCTATGGCAGAATGGATATCCCTGCAGAGACTCTGCCATGCTTGCGCAGCTTTTGCTGCTTGTCAAGGTACTTGATGTGGTGGTTGGCATAATAGCTCCACCTCATCCAGTTGCGACCCTTGTGATTGTTCCAATGGGAAGGATTCCAGATAGCAGAGTACTTCTCTTTGTACCGCTTAATAACATTCAGGACGTATTTGGCATGGTTTATGCTCTGCTTCTATGGGGTAATTGCGAGAGGCTTTGTTGACATAGCAGCTCACTACTTGTTGCACTTCTTCCTTTTGAGATTGCGAGCCTGCCAAAGGTTTTTTTGCACCAGAGTGGCATTCTCTAGCTCAGATTCAGTGGGCTTGAGATCGGATTCAACTCTTTGATTGTGGGCCATTCTGTCTTTGTTGAATGGAGACCAAACTTCTCAGCAGGCCACTTTTTTGCTACTGGGCCTTGTCAAGCATCATCGCCTTTGGCAGACAATGATGACTCTGAATTGCCATAGTTGAGCTCTATCATTTGTGACATGTAGAAACATGCACAATCTAAAGGTGACTCCACTGCACCAAGCGGCGTGAATAGAAGCACTTAGTGTTATGGGCATAGCTCTGGCCTCCTATTATTTTTCAATTTTTCCTGATTTTCTACAATTTATTCTGTATTTGTACAACCCTCCAAATGTTGTCTGCACTTTAGTGCCAGTTTACAAATTCTAGCCGCGTGCTAACACCTCAGAAATACATCACTAACAAGCACACATCAGCATATCAGACGTGCCTGCATTGCCACCACCTTGTCACCACATTACACTTTTTTGGTAATAGCCGCACTCCGATCTCCACCAAATCTTCTATTTCTAAGTCCGATCGGCAACAAACATCCAACCTCTATCAGCCCAACAATGTCATATGCTTATGACACACCGGCCTCTATTTCCCGCTGAGTTCTCTAGATACTAGCAGATGCCGTAGCTACAGTTGCTTAGAAAATGCCTGGTCTGTGGTGCAATCTGAACAGTATATAAAGGGCCCTTTCACTGCTACCTAGCCCCATCTCAACCTCTTGGTTATTTGGACTAGGTAAGCCTTCTTTTGTATTGTAGTACAGTTACTAATACAAACTTGGTTATTAGGCTAGTTGAACAAGTTAATGCAATTGTTACCAGACCTCAGTTGGCGCTACCTTTGTTAAGATCCACTTAGTATTTCTGGTGTTGTGTTGATGTCAGTTCACATCACTTGGTCTGCGGGCATTTGGAAAGAAGACATAAGCTGTAGATGTGCCCAAGAAATGGGCAAAGGAATCTTGTGGTGGCAGAGGATATTCTCCAGATCAACTGCTTCTTGGCTAATACGCTAAGTCATGTTGTCAGACTCAGCCTTCTTCTCTTGGACCTCTCGAAGAGTGGACTTGAGTGTTTTTATCTGCTTGCAAAGCCAACTTTCAGTTTTGCGAGCTTTCTGCAGAGAAGAGGAGAGTTGAGAATTCTCCTTCTTAACTTTCCTGCAGGTTTCCTGGGCTTCATTGTGCTCTTGGCGCAGCTGGTCTTCCTATACCAAACAATCCTCCCACTATCACACAGGAGGATTGTTTGTACCATGCATGCAGCTTAGCTGTGCTGCAGCAGCCTCTCGAAAGCTCAGGTTTGCCCCACCGAGTCGCTGGTGATGTATGAAGTTGTCACATTATGCGCATCCCACAAGATGTTGAATAACACCAGTTTGCAAGTCACAAACTCAATAGAGGTCACTGTTGGGGTCTTAACCCTGGCAATGCTGCCTGGAGTTAGAAGCTACTGAGGCCTCGTTCACTCACTGCTTGTTGGTGTTGAGGCAATCAGAAGTTTGACCATAGTGTGATTGGTCATGTCTCTGCTCACCTTTCATGGGAAAGTCTTCTTTTTTTGGCTATTTGACCTGCTGAGATTATTTGCAGTTGATATATGATATCAAGAACACTTGTGTGTTCTGCAGGTGTTCTTGTCGTGGGGAGAGAAAGAGAGTTGAGATGAAAGTGGGGAACTTGAGCAAGCAAAATTGCAGAGTGCCTTGCCTAAGGATCAGAATGCCACGTGAGGCTCTGATCTAAGAGATTAGCTCTTCTGTTGCCCAGAGCACTTGGGTGCTCTTCAGGAGTTCCGACTCCGAGGCAGTTTCGCCCAATCAGAGATTGTGCACAGGTCAAGATATTTATCTAATGCTTTGAGCTTATCGACAAACTCAATGGGTTTGAGGGTTTCTCCTCCAATATTCCATCTAACCTTAAATAGGATAGTATCCCCATCCCATTTATGGTCAGCAATCTTGTCTACTAGATATTCTGCATCCTCCGGAGTGCCCATGTCATAAAACACCTGGATATCCCAATGTGGAAATAGATTACTCATTTGGCTCATGCCTTCTCAATAATGATATATGAAATTTGGGATGTATTCTTCATTTTGCTAAGTTCTTGGAGAATTTCAGGGTGTAGGACAAAGTTCTGGAGTCCCCATACAAAATTTTGTAAGGACCAATGAATCATGGAACTAGCTTTTGTGCATAATTTGGCAGAAGAGATAGGTTCTCCATGGATAGATACACAAGATCGCCTGCTTTCAGGGAGTCTTGCTTGCCGTGGTGCAAGTCTTTGTCTCGGCAATGCTGATTAGCATGGTAAGTCTGATGCACACAACTGTCAATTATCACATCATGGGCCTTGAGAAAATGGTTCAACACTTGGCAAGTAAACTGCTGCACATCTGGCAGTGAGTTGCTTGTATCTTTAGACAAGACTCTAAGCATCTGAGGGAGGCTTTCTGGGTTTAGCTTGAAAGGAGCAAACCCGGTCGACTTACTAATGCTCAAGTTTATTGCAAACTTGACCATCAGTATGTGCTTGACTCAATCAGACTGGTCAGGCAGGACAACTCCCCTAAGGGTTTGTGTAACCGAATGATTTGCTCATTTGGTTGCACCATTGGTCTGAAGATGGAAGGCTGTGGACATGAGAAGCTTGATACCAAAAATTCAGTGAACTTCTCACTAGAATTTGAAGGTGAACTTGGAGTCCTTATCTGACACCAAGTTGTCAGCACTCTTTAGCGCTAACCTCAAGCTTGAGATAGTAGCAATTGCTATCAAATGCATTGCATGACTTAGTAGTAACTGGCCTAGCAACTGCTTTAGGCCATTTAAAGTCTATAGAGTCCCTCCGGCAGTACTTGGCATGTCTTAGGGCATTCTAAAAGGGTATCTACATCATTGGGGCTCGAACTATCTGCTCCTGGCACTCTTTGTAACAGCTAGACAGGCTAAAAGCTTGGAGAAAAGCATGGGCACACTTTCCCAGCCTGGGAGCACTCTTGAATGGCCTTCCAATCAAAACACTACTATAATAGGCTTGGTGGCATGCTCTCACACTCTTCACATGCCCTTTCGCTCCTCTTATGTGCCTTCTGCCCTCAAAATGCTTGGCAAAATGCTGAAAATTCAGTAAAATATTTTAGGATGCTATTTGTATACATTGTATGCCATTCAGACACCTTTTACCTCGATGCTTAACAGCTGGGCACCTAACTAGAGGCATAGAAATATTGGGCCTTTAGTGTTTGGAGTAATAGATCCTTCGTATCTGCTGTGCATTTAGGCAAGAGAAATATGTACATGCACCAATTATATCAAGTTTATGATAAGAGCAAGAGGGAGGACTGAAACAGGTAGAGCATGTGAGACTTTTATCTAATTCTTCTCTTCTTTGCAGAAGATTTTGGGACTTCAGCTAGCAATGAACACTTATATCTGAATGGCGTCAGTATTCCTATATAATAGAACTGAACAAGACTCACCCATGCAACTGTTGGGCCAGCAGAACACTCCTGATCACCCAGCGCACATTCTAAACAGCTGCAGCCTTATTAAACTATATTTGATATTGAAGCTGTTTAAAAAATATATTCAAATGTCATTTAGACGCCAATTGAGCGTTCAAATATATCTAACATTTTTGAATATAAATGGATCATTTAAAAATTGTTTTTATGTTTATATCTTATATTTCATACTGCTAATTGTCAAAGATTGCAGTAATACATTTTATAAACACAACTAGTAGAATTAAATGCTAGTTTTAGATCAAAAAGTAATATATACAGCTTTTAACATCACTAACATATTTTGTATACACAAACTAGCATCTATGTTCTATTGCAAGAACAGCAAATTTTTTTTTTGCTAAGTACTAGCTAATAAGCTGTATACAACTGTATTTGTGTTAGAGAATGTCATATTTATTTTGCACCTTATTTATTACTATATGCCTACTAACAACATGTTATTTAACTAGCAG